ACACACACATATATATATATATACATATATAAAGAAATATTATGTAAGACTATGCTCCTCCAAATTTAATTAGCTTTGAAACTATATATGTTGTTAGATAGCTGAAATTAAAAAGCATGTAATTTTTTACTTCGACAAATATGAATTTTAAAAAATCTAAATGTATATACATTAAATGCTATGACATCTCTGTCTAAATTTATTCATGTACTTCACAATTCTGACATAGCAGTCGCTAAGAAAGTAAAAAGATATCAGCTACGCGAGATTATTTCAATATCTAATTGTGCTAAAAAAATGCTTATAAAATCATGTCCCTTGTATTTATTTTATATATATCTCTTGTTTTTGTATCTAAAGTTTATAAAAAAAACGAAGAGAATCTTGAACATATAATTATCCATTCTTTTCCATTCACCAGAAGAAATTCACAGAGATATATTAATTAAGCTTGTCGTTAAATCAAAGACAAACGAATTTTTGGTCTTACAGGTTTCGGTGGTACATTTATAATAAAGAATGGGAAAACGATACAGCATATCATACGAAACTATTGGGAAGTTCCGATAAGAAAGAAAAAAGATATTCATAACTGCATTAAATATTTGAAAATTCAAAATTCGCCCATAGTGGCATTTGCCACGTTTGTTAGCTCAGACAGGCACAAAGTAATGTCACTAAAAAAAATAATATTAATGTCTATCAATCTAAGCTTCAAAACGGATATACGTCGTGAATTATTCGTAATAATACGATATTTTCCAGGATGTTTACCTTAACCAATGGCACGTCCATGCTAATTCTAACGACAGTGGCGGATATTATCATGAAACTGTACCGAACAATACTAATACGGAGTATTTAGGATATTTTTCTCCAGCAACGAAGCTTTATCGTATTAATCCCGTATCTGAATTTGATGAAATGAGAAATTTTACTTGTTTAAGAAATTAACAAGAGCATTAACAGTTAACGTTAGACGATTTACTTTATCATATTTTAAAAAGTTTTAATATCAATGACGAGAGTAGAGCCCGGATTAAAGTTCTGAGAATCACCGACGTGGCTTTGAGCGAGTGGCAGTGAAGAAAATCGTGAGGAACGCACTACGGTAGATTCAAATCAGTATGACAGATTACCCGGCTCTAATGATGAGTTTTCTAGGATGTAATGAAGCAATTGCCCTGTATATGACATTGCGTAGTTATGACATTTTTGCTATAATTTTATCATTTTTAAATTTTTCTTTTTTTATATCTTGGATTATATTTCTCGCATTTTCCATGTCTTTTTCTCAAGCATAAGCAATTTTTGTTTTTATTGCTTCATTTTTATTATAATTAATCTACATTTGTACATAAATAAAAAAATATAAGATATTTATTTAAATAAACTATTCTTTTTTAATTTTTTATTTAGAATTTTCTTATATTTCTCTAATAAAGAAATATATTATTTTCATCTGAAAATAAAAATATGGACAGACAAGTAAAGAATTTGTAACATCTATTAAATATATACTAAGTATATCTAAGCTACCTATTGATCTCGTACTTATGTTCTATAAGCTCGCAAGTTTTTTTTTTTAAATCATTTTTTATAAAATCATTAATAGGCTCTCCAGCATTTCACTCTATTACATTATTCAACAAAAAATGCATAAGAATGAAGATGAGAATAAGGATCGTTTCCCATAGTTTCTTCAGTGATGAATATATTTTCGTTTACCAAATTGCTCTATAACGTCACAATTTAAAAAAAAATTTTTGTTTTATTTTTTATATTTAAATTTAATTATTCTTTAAAAGATATTATTTATATATCCCTACCTGTCTATTAAAAATATCTTAAAAGTACCTTATGATGGTTATTAATATCTTTTAGAATTATTTTGAAGATATAATATATAACAAAATATTTCTGAACATTTTCTGGATATTTTTCGGATATATATCTTTTAGAAGAGCCTTGAAGATCTTGAAAAACTCTTTAAAACTTCAATATTTTTTGGATCTCTATCATGATTAATTTATATTTTTACAGTAATAAAAGACAAAAGTTTAATTGTTATTTATGGAATAAACTGATTTTAATCATAAATAAAACAAATATCAATCAAATCGGCAACAAAACACGTTTATCAGTAACATATCTAAAAAATTTGTGTTTAATTTGATTACTTTGGAAAATTGCAATCGAATAAAGATGACTTCGATCAAATGTATACCTATATATCCCGTTCTCAATTGGATGATCACGTTCGCAACTCTCTTCTGTGTATCCCAAAAAGTTCTTTATTCTTTTATCAGCGTGTATTCTTTATTACTCTTATCGGCAAGTCTCTCATCCTCACGGTCGTCGCTCCACTCATCCAAATCTTCCTAACGTCATTAATCCGCAATAATCCGTTGGTCGTCTAAGTTATGCTAATTGCAAACAGACAAAGTCGCAGATGTGTCAACGGATGAACGATGACAGTAATGCTTGAACTAGTGCCAGTCATCTTTGTGTATTCTCACATCAGTAGTTTCAGTATACATATCGCGATGAAGTTCAGCATAGAGTCCACAGCTTCCTACAACAGCATCCATCCAGCATATCACTACACTGAGCAGTTCGCCAACAATGGCGAAACCTATCGGGACGGCACCAAATGGTACGGGGTGTTCCTGGCGTTTATATCAGGCACTTTCTTCACCATCAGTTCCGCCTTAGTCAAAGCGATTCGCAACGTAGACCCCATGATTTTGTTGGTCATTCGCGCCCTGATGCAGATCCTAGCAATGGCTGTCGTGGCCTGCAGATCGTCCAGCAATCTTTTCGGCCCTTCCGGCCAAAGAATACTCATACATTTTCAGGTAAAGTTTGCTCGTTTTGAACATGATGTACCGATCATCTGCGAAGACAATACAGTCTCTGGATTTATTAAGATGTCTGAATTTGCCAAAGTTTTTAATTTTGTAACATCATTAGTATTACTCGCTTATCTACTTTCATAAGAGAAATGTTGGTCATTACAAAACTAATCACTCTCTTCTTATCTGATTACGCATGTAAATGATCATGAGCTTATCTGCAGGCGTCCACAGCTTTTCTACACCGTGTATCATATTAATTGCATTAAGCCGGAAAGTCGGCGACGAATATTATTCACTCTTACTTCGCCCTTCATTTGTTTTGATTTATTTTATATACGAAGAGTCTTTATACCTTTGTTATTTATTTGAATATTATTCATTTGCAATATCTGTGTTCGCATGCATTAGCGAAGCTAAACCCCTCAGAAAAATTGAGGGATCATAAAACTAAGCTTACATTCTTTAACATATAAACTTATTATCATCAATACATTGTAATGGTTTAAAAAGAAGCATTTTTTAGAACGATAAATGTTTTTTATGCGATCGCTAAGCCGTTATATTATATTTACATTTTTTTCCAGGGCCTGGTAGGCGGCATGACCCTGTCGTTGCTTTATTATAGTTTTCGAGAATTACCTTTAGGTGATGCTACCACGATCATATTCAGCTCACCGGTGATCGTCATCGCGCTATCTTTCCTCTTTCTAAAAGAACCCTGCGGTGTTCTGCGCATACTGGTAGTCTGCACGCTTCTAACAGGCGTTGTCCTCGTTGCCAGACCACCTTTTTTATTCCAGGTAATTTAATTTTTATCACTGAATACAAAATTAATTTGACGAGGACGAGCTCAACAGACAAAACTGAGTAAATTTCATTCACTGTGTAGAGCGATATTAATAATTGATAATTATTAATATCTAATCTGAAATGGCATTCAGATTACAAAGAATTCGTACAAAGGGCCAAACAAAATTATACAAATAAATTATACAAATTTTTCGTTTTTTATAGTAAAGAAATGTTCTTTTATTATTAAATTGAAATTAAATTCAAGTAATGATTTCGAAAAAAACGCTCGTCATAGTCTTTGTTCTGCAACCCTCGAGAATAATTTTTCTCTTCCAGATGCATCGTGCCGAGAGCTATAATCTTATGGGATATCTGTGCGCCATCCTGGCCACTCTCTTCACAGCGCTCAACATCGTCGTCATGAGAAAGTGCTCGGAGATACATTACTCCATCCTGGTGTTAAACCTATCGTGTTGGTCATTCGTCTCTGCCGTGTTCTTTTACTTCACGGTGTCCGGACATGGTATCGGTCATGAGCTTCACAAATTTCGACTACCACACGATTGGTTCACCTGGGGCCAGATCTTGCTGGTGGCATTGACTGGCCTTACCGGTCAGGTGTTGGTCACAAAGGCGCTTAAGATTGAGAGCGCGGGTAAGGTATCGGTCACCAGATCGCTGGATATCATCCTAGCCTATCTGATCCAGGTTTACCTGTTCGGCGAGAAGCCCACGTCCACCAGTCTAACCGGTGCGATCCTCATCATCTCCTCTGTTGTCTGCATGGGTTTCGAGAAGGAGATCTACGCGGTCTGCGATTTCATTCCTTAGTCAATGAAACAATCATTCGGGCGATTGCATTTCGCAATAGACGCAAGCGAGAATTGTTAAAAGCTAATTTAATTTACTTAAAAAATTTAATGTACTTAAAAAAAAATCAAAAACTAGTAAAAATATCAAAACGCTAAATATCAATAGATTTTCAACAATAATATTAATAAGATCAATGAACATTTAACTAATTTCGATTTCTTATTAAAACAAGTTTCTGGTATCACACATTGAAAAGGTGCCGATTAATAAGCAGCGTTCGATTATAAATGATTTTTTTTTTTCTCTTTGTGTCTCTTCTTAATATTCCTTAAAATGACATATAATGAACATCAATCATCTAGATTATCTAAAATATTGATTGAGTCGATAATAATAAAAATAAATACATAAGTGTCATAGTAATAGTAACGATGATATCAATAATAATAATAAAGATATATAATCAATTTCACGAATTTATGCGTGCAAATATATACATAGGTGATAATTGGATAGCAAGAGAAATGCACATGTATAACTCGTTTACACATGTATATATAATATCTATCGATGATTTATTCAATGGGAAAAAAAGGTACACAACACTACATTAACAGAATAAATCGCTATATCTCATATATATACATATATATGTATATGTATATATATGTATATCGAAAGTAATATAATTATTTACATTGGATATTTTTTTATCTACTAGTCCCTGACAAAAGCGCATGGTTGCGCACCAGTCCTATTAATGACGCTGGATAATGAATCTACCTTTTTTTGCTTTTGACAGTGTGCTTATAAATCTATATATAATATATATAACACATATATATATATATATATATATATATATATATATATATATATATACTTCAGGATTTAGTTTACACTTTTCGAACGGTAAATATAACATAAGACATACATCTTTCTCTCTTATATACGCACACACTTTCTCTTCCTCTCTCGTACATAAACATTTTGCTACTCCTATCATCTTTTTCCCTCTTTCGAACTATATGAAATCTTCATCATACAATATTTTATACCCTATGACTAATCTTATTCTACGTTCTGTCTTATAATTAAAGAGAAGTTGCACAAAATTACTTACATTATATACGGGTGGCTTCTCGAGCTTGAAAAAGGTATGTGTGTACATATATACTTCACATATATAACGTTATTTCATTTCGCTTTGCTCTACTCTGCCCTTTCTCGCTTCAACCTACATTTTTCTCTTCGTTTCGCTTGCATCGCCTACAGCCGATACACATCTTAGTCTCTTGATGTAATCGCATTTGCGCCTAATCGCCTTGCGATACATATGCTGATCAATTTATTTGGATAAACATCCGAGGGTACATCCGTAGCGATGTGACACAGGAATGTAATCACATACGGTAGTTTTTTCTCACAGAAGGGCGAAAATCGTACGATTTATTCGTGCAATTCTCGCATTAACACGCTTCCTATGTATACGTGTATGTGTGTAAATATATGTATATATTTACATATATAGTTTTCCAATATTTTTTTTATTTTACATTGGTCATATGATTTTCGTCCCTAAAATGTAATTCTTGCAACTGTACAAGTGAAGGGCACCTCCTGCTATGGCGTTTTTTCGTTATGCAATCAGAAGCAACCTGTTCCCTGAAGACGAAGATAGCCTTAGTTGTGATAGTTTCTGGTTGGATAACAAAAAAACGCCCTTATTACAATAACTGTCTCGCCTTTTTCCCTTGCACAGAATGGCTGTTTCGCATCGTACACATATATATAAATCTATAATATTGCTAAAAGGAAGTTGCGTTAACCTTGTCGTGCAGCGTGTATGCATGTGATAGAAAATGCTACGAACAAATAAGCGCCTCTCGAAAGAGATCGTAAAGATTGGATAAAATCGCGCCGATTAGATTAGTCTTTTTTACAACCGACTTCTTTAATTTTTTATTCAACACTCATCACAGATTTTAAGACTTATTCGATTAAAAGTAAGATTGAAAAATGAAAAAGAAAACGTCCTTAGCAGATGATAAAGTGGCAAAACTGTATATTGATTTTGTAAATCCATTTTTCTTCTTTTCATTACAGCGAAGCTTTCTTTTACCGATGCGGTCTCGTCCAATCTCACAATATTCAAGATTCCTTTCCAATATTTTCTTAACCAACAGAATCTGTCTCGTTCTCGTCAAAATCCTATGTCCTTTCTTTCACTATTTTTTCCATCCTTCTTCCCCCTTATAGAAATGAAGTTCTGGATAGGCACTGCACGCCGCCGATTTTGTCACATCACAGTATTAAACAATAAAATGTACATCTTATTGCGAAAAAACGCGCATTTCGAGAATGTGAAAATTTTTATCGTATTCAAAATACGTTTTGGTTACAAAAATAGGGCACACGATCGTTTCTTTTTTTTTTTTGTCATTTTACCTTTTTTACTTTTTTCAATTTTTTTTTGATTGATTGCCTTAATCAACATCGTGGAGATATAAATACAGATGTCTAAAATACATGTGTCAACGTCAAGCTAAGGAGGATACATTCAAGTGGTTCTTTCTTTTTCCTAAACATTCGGCAACAATTGTTCTACTACAGCATATTACACAATGTGGGTTGCTCTCTTTTTCTGTCCCATTTTCTCTCTCCTTTTCTCTCTATCATTCTATCAACGCTAGATACCTGTATCGTGTGATATAAAAATGAGATCAGTTTTCGATAACTAATACTTCAAATACACACGATACAAAAAAAATCACTATCAGAATAATGTTATCCAAATAGGTTTTTGAAAAATTAGAAAAACGACAGAAGTCTGAATCTAATCTTCATCTCGCAAAAAAGATTTAAATAAATTTGAAGAATAATATCTCATACATCACAATTATTCGTGAATTATATAATTTTAGAATTGTATAATTTTTTTATATATAAATCGCTGAAGGTTTTCAATTGAAATCAATAATGTTAATTTATGTAACTTATACATGAAAAATATGAATGAATATTTATACAATACAGTGAGAAGTATACGAAGAAATATACGTCTTCGAGAAAATTTAAAAAAGAAACACAAAATGTATAAATCTCTCTCATAATATTATATCAATACATACTTCTTTTTAATGTGTCTATTTTATAGAAACTTAAATGAGATCTCTTCCTTATGCGCTATATAATCGCTATATATATATGAAAAAAAAGATGTGAATTAGATGAAACTCATAACTCTTAGCCACATAATAGAAATAACAATAGTCATTTATTATACGTCGAATGTAACAGCCATATTAATGTGGCATTTTTATACTTTTCCATATTTTACAATTTTGAATATATATATATATATATATGTATATATATTGCATATACGCGTACATATATTATATATAATATATAATGTAATATATATATAT